ATAAACCGTAGTTTTTGGTACACAGAAGGGCGTCTTGAAAGCCTGTTTTTTATATCAATTGTTTTATCTCACTTTTGGTGTATCACTATTATTGCTATAATACAATACATCATTTCGTTATTTCTTTGTAGATGAGTTTTTTTAATTTATGACTCATCACTATTTAATAATTCAATCAATTAGGATTACATTTTCCATACTCTATGGTGTACACGACGCAAAAGAGGAACTACTGGTTTTGTTATGAAAAAATTGTTTTCAACCCAAATTTTAGTATCAATAAATTCCTGCGTTTGTGGTGTATACAATGTTAGCCATTTTTAACAATGTACTATAACTTCAAAAGGCTTTCATTAGTCAAAAGATCGCATACTCAAACCTGACCTTTCCGTTACGACAGTCGATGAAAACCTCTAAAGTAGATACGGGGTAACTCGAGCTCAATCAGCGATCCACGCAACTGGAAACTATACCGCGAATAGAACAAGAAGAAAAGGAAGAATAGTTCGCTCTGCACTTCGATATTTCGCACATATCTATAGGCTCCCTTCGTACGCGAAGACGAAAAAAAAGGTAAAGGGATTTTTTTTTTTAAATCGGGGTCACAGTGCCTGGGGCAAGTTAAACATGAGCCGGTCAAAAGTGGTGTTATTTACGCAAATCGCTCCCCTCGAACGGTTTCTCATACTTCCGTTATGAAGTCGCTCTCGAGGTTTGAGCAGGAGTTTCTGTGTATATGTATAGGTGCACGCGGGGTATGTTACACCGTCGCGTCGTGCCTCAATAATGAGAATGGAATTAATTTTTATTATTTCATAAGGGCCGTTTTATGGATGGTTCGTGGGGTATCTGATGAGAAAAACGTACCAGAGTGTAATTTCTATTTTTTTTTTTTTTTTTTTTTTTTTTTCATCGGTCAAGAAACACGGTTGCTTTGCTGTTCGGAAAAAAATGAGCTCATCGAGAGCTCTTCGTGTGGAATTTAGTACGTAAGATTTTTTGGGTTATTTAATATTTTTTTGACATAACCCACGTTGCCGCTTAGTTAAACCAGTGAACATTTACGAACAATTGTATTGAAGTAAATTTGCGAACATAATATTTTTATTACTTTTGCTATAATTATTTGTTTAAAACGACTCAACTGTAGATGCTGGTGTCATTATTTCTAATTATCCATGTGTTACCACTACCATGCGGTTGTGCCGAGACGGGAGAATAAAAAGCTCGAAAAGACGTTCGGAATTTCCCTGGTGCCTCATTACCAAATACCTCAATTTTTCCGCAACGCGATAATGACCATGTAGTATACACATAAACCGAGAGCAGGTGCCTACATACGTATATTGTATCCTCCACTTCTTGCAGCGCATTCCCCGTTAATGGATACATGTCAAGACGGTCGTTAAAACGTTCTCCCTCGCCCACACCCGCGTGTTGTCACCCAACGTTAATACATCACGACTTATACGTGTATACATGTATTACACGAGGAACCGCACCCGATGACAATGATCCTTTGTACAAATGTGTATACGTGAACTTTGCTATCGGGTGCTTGACGTGTACAAGAAGAAGCTTACGGTCGTTAGCCAAGGCCGGGAGTTACGAGCACGATATTTCTCGTTTATTATCACGTGTACTATGTAAATATTTATACGTGTGACACATTTCAATGATAATATTTATTATTAATGTTATTATTATTATTATTATTATTATTATTATTATTTTTAGTAGCGTCTTTCAAGCTATGGGATTCCATAATTGCAGACTAGTATTTTTTTTAAATTTCTTGAATACGATTTTTTTGAAATCTTTATGTATGTATGTACGTTTATACTATACAAATAATGAGAAATTTTTGTTATACAGCTATGCTTAAAAGTAAGGTTATGTTTCCACATCGATATATACGCCTCAACGTTCATATATATCCCCTTGAGAATGTGTTATATTTGACCTTATTTTTGATCTTATTTTCCTTTGAAATACGATAATTTTCCAATGTTGACGAGGTCAATTTATTGAAAAAATGACTGCACGCAAATACCACTTTTATGGCAGCCAAAACAATAAAAAAATTGTTGTATGTTTCTGTACTCACTCTCTCTATACTCTGAGTGTGCGCTTTTGTTTCCGGATCAACAAAATTATACTGGAAATTAACTGTAAAATGAGTCCAATTTTCCTTAAACAATCGGAAACAATTGTCGTACCAGGTTTAAAAAAAAAAAAATTATTATTTTTGCTTTCCGAATCTTAAAAATGCATGTAAACATTATTCCAACTATCAAAATAGAAGAAAAAAATTCATGTTTAAACAGTTTTTAGAGCGTGTGAGTTAAACTACACAATTATCAAAAATTTTTAAATTTTTTTTACCTATTTTCAGTAGACTATTACACTAGTTCGATGTAAAAGATATATTTGTATTTACTTGTAAAAAAAATTTTACGTTGATTTTCAAACCTATACACTGTAGGACTGTATGTATGAACATATAAGAGACTCCGCAGTTCGAAATCCCAACAACTTCAAAGTTTTTTCAAAACTTCCACACGCTTTCAAAGTACTTTTGTCATTCAGAATATGTAATAAGTCATTAGGTGACTTCAAAATAGGTACTTTAGAGTGTTCTCATGACCTTAACTGACTTTTGATGCCTTTAAAAGACCACAAGATTTTTTTTTCCCGTTAAATTTATAAGTTCGACGCCATTAGTAATAAATTAATAGAATGTAGATGATTCTACTGATGTGTAATTTTTTCCCTAAAGTGTGTCACCTTGTCAGGTCACAATTTTTAACGCATGCATTTTAAAAAATTGTAGAAAATCAAAGGTGTCTTTTTAATTTATACGTACGTAATTTGTCTTGCACACCCACCGTCTGTTGCCCGGAAGAGACAGCAATGCTTGTCATATAATGTTTCTCCATAACGAGTCACAAACATCTCATTGAAATAAACGATGAATCAAAATGTTATCCACCGAATACAAAAGGTGAAAGTCAAGTGCGTCATTGAAAAAAAGTCAGTCCCACGATACACGGAACGCGGATCGAAACAATATCGAGAAAAACAAAATCCATGCAAAGATGAGTTGCGTACATATCTCACGCTGCAGAAGAGCTCTCGATGTTACCTCTCCGCGAGAGCAAACGAGGCATTCCATCACAACATCCCTTCGCGTTGTGTATACATGTGTATATATTTGCATCGACTTTTCATTTCTTCATATGTGTGTTATTTGTTACGCATGTATCGAACGTATATTTTTATCTTTACACGTATGGGAAAATCCACAAAAAATATCCCATTTTAATAAAAAAAAATTTTTTGAGGTACACCCTCGAGATGAGGCATGTGCTTAATCATATATGGCTTTTTAAGCTATCAGTGGGTTTACGAGAACATGGTCTCATAAATATATCGATACAAAGCAATATATACCACTAGCACCCCCCCCCCGTTTTGGCTTTGCCCAAGAATCACAAAATGGAACACTGTATAGTGTGTTGACATGTAATGTGAAACGTTTTTAGTTAAAAATTTTACATCTATTCCTGACACTTCTCAGAACAGTAATCTTGTTATTAAAAACTAATTTGTTCGAAATCCGTACAGTTCATATGATCAAATAGTAAGCTGTGAAAGGTAATAAAAAACCCCCCGTGTGTCGAATGTCGAGCGGAAAATTGATTATTTTTCACAAGTACGGATACTCAAATAAAAATAATGAAATTAAACTACAAACCGAACCGAAAGTATATTCACGGAACCCCCGTGTCAGTCATTTAGCCGTCAACCTTTCAAGATCACCTCTCGTCAACCCTGTACCTGGAAAAAATTCAAAATCCAAGAGAATCGATCCGATGGCCGAGATTTCTTCCAGTGGCGTGTGCGTCCCGGCGGGAATCAATCACCCCGCGAGATTCCTCTTCCGCTGATGGAAAAGCGACACTGCAGTCTCACTTGAATGTTTTTTCCTCCCCCCCGCACTGTCTGATTCTCGAGCGCATGCAACTACGGGCGAATGGCTTCTTTGTTGGGCTGGTGCTTTCACCCTCTTTGCTGAGGATCGCAGACGACCGACTGATCTTATTGTTCAGCGAGCAATTTTGGGGGACGCTGTATATCAGCTCTCTCTCTCTCTTTGAGCATAGAGGGTGTTGGGTGAGATGTGAGTAATGAATATTTATTGGAAATATTTGATGGGTCAGTCGTAGAGTTTAGATGACGTACGGGGTTGTTTGAGGTATTGTCTGTAGGCTTACGCCCAACCATATATCCACCACCATGGTGTACGTGGTCCAAGGCTTCGAGTTTAATTTTATGGTTTTTAAATAGTAATAGGTATTTTAATCCTACCAGCTCATCTGTACACAGTCAGAATAACAATATTGTGAAATTATAGGCTCGCTGGTGGCCCTACATTAATTGTTATTGCTATACGATAGGTGTACTACAGTTTCAAAACTAAGTACAGTAAAGAAAAAACAATAATCTACTCATTATAAAACACAATTCACTTTCCTCTTGAAATAATGTTGTTTTACCTATTGGTTAAGAATCGACAGATAAGACTGAGCCTTGACTTTTTACGGCAAGTTCAAATAAGTGATAAGCTGTGCGCAAAATTAGCAGCTGGTAGCAATATCTACTCCGCCTCGTTAGAAGTTCAATGTTTTACATGCGAGTGTGGATGCAGGGCACGACAAGTCTAGCCTCAATTCGAGACTAATTTTAAGCTGATATCTTTGATCAGTCCTAATTCGACACCAGAGGTCGTGACTATTATAAGCTTTAACGTCTTTGATATGGTCTAAGCTTTGTCATGGAATAAATACATTGTGATTGGATAAGCCGTACGACTGTCATTATAAGATGCACCATATCGCACCATTTAAACATGTTATCCGTTCACCAGAAAAAATCGAGGATCAGAACGATCCTAATCCATGGATTAAAAGGTAAAAGTCCAAATCAAAACTCATGGGTAATCCTTGAAATTTTGTTTATTGAGCACAATTTGATGTTTGTCTTCCTTACAGAGGAACGACTTCAAAATGCAGACATAAGCATAGCACTGACGTCAGCAGCAGGACCACCCTGTTGCGATCGATCAGCGCCTTCTGCGAGAGTTTCCCGAAGAAGAAGAACCCCCGTCGCTACCACCGTTCGACCCAGAGCCAGAACTTCCGCTTCCAGAGCCAGAACTACCGCTTCCAGAGCCACTGCTTCCCGAGCTACCACTTCCGGAGTCACCACTTCCAGAGCCACCTGAGCTTGGACTTAAAAATTCCGAAAGGTTTCGGAAAAGGGTTGACAGCAACGTCATCACTCCGCCAACAATATTCTGTACCAGCTGGCCGACCAGAGGTATACCACCCAGGCCGTCAAGGATACCATTTACTGAGGTCTAGATAAGTGGGTGAAAAAAGGGTAGAGTGTTAGTTTCATGGTTCAAGATGTTTTCTAAACTGAGAAGTTTGTGTGGAGAGTAAAGAAGTTTCAAGAATTTATTTTAAGGTCATACCGTCAGTATCTTTATAGTTACGTGCATAACTTTATTTAGAAATGAGTAATGAGTTATACATACTTCACATAATTTTAATACTTTTAGACATTTTGTGAAAAAGTTAGTTTCAATTTTTAGTTAGCCAATGCAGCAATGTTTTTTTCACGAAGGATGGTTCCAGAAAATTTTAACTGAGTTATTCTCACATTCAAATTTAGAAGTTTGTAAGATTTTCTTGATATTTTAATGATAATTAAGATACTTACAGTAAAACTTTTGTAAAAACAAATGAATAAATTTTTGATAGAATTTCGATCATACTTTTGAATAATGATTGTATAGAGGTATCTGCCACAAAAACTGTTGACAATTTAATTGTAAAAGTAAGTTAAATCAACGGAAGCCTCGCAAATGAAAAAAGTGGTGTTTTTTTACATTTGATAATGATATAATGACAATAATCTACGGTTTTAAAAAAATTTAACTTACACCTGCTGCTTCTGAGCAACCGAACGTTGCCATGAAGGCCAATAAAACGGGAAATATTACGATAGTCCTCATTTTTTGTCTGATTTATATCTGTAAGAATAAATAAGCTTATTCAATAAGGATTTTTTTAAATCGTTTATTCATAGTACTTTGAAAACAACTGCAAGATTTTCTTAAAAAAGTTTTAAAATTTTACTTTTTAATTGAGATAAGAACAGTAGTATAGCTCACTTGGCTAAGGCGTACACGTCTTAGCTCAGTTGAGGTACGGCTGTTTCAGTGGTTAGTAAATAAGATATTTATTTCAGAGATGGTAAAGGGAGTGCCCTTAAAAAAGTGGTGTAAAATACAATAAAAATAAACAAACAAAAATTTTAAATAGTTTAATTGGGCTTGATTTTTTTAGTTGTAAAATCTACATGACCACTGTATGACCAGACTTAGGCATAGATACTTTAAGAATTTTTTCACATTATAATTTCTTACTCAAATTCTAATGCTTTGTTGATACAAAAAAATATTTTTAATCACTAACTTATACAATACAGTACTTAATAAAATTTTGTCCAGCAAAAGTAATAATGCCTTACAGTTTAAAAGAAAAAACGTATTCAAGAAAAAAAATTCAAATATTTGGTTTCTATTTCTATACAAGAAACTTTAATGTATAAAATATATTTCACTTATTATCTGTCACAAATTATTTTTTTTTTTATATTTCATTGTAAATAGTGACAAAAAAATAATTTCTTTCACCCAAAACAGTGCATTGTAAACAAATAAAATAAATTTCTTTTAAAGTGTTTGAGGAGGATGATCACCTTTTGCAAAAATGACTTTGAGTGTTAGTGTTTACAGATTTCGTAAATAAACTCCTAATTAATCTATATCTTCAGTTAGAGCATTGATTTCCGAGAAAAGTAATAAATAAATCAAAGTTAAAGTTTGAAAATTTAGTCTTATAAGATGCGTTAATTTTTGTTTGAGACCAATATGGAGATTATTAATAATTTTCTTATAAAAGGCCCTAGTAATGAGCTATATAGAATATCTGCTATATGAAATGGTTAAAAAATAAAAAGATGTATTTTTTATGTTGAAATCAACTTGATAAGTGTATTTTCAAAATTATTATAATTTTTTTTTTTCGCAACAAAAACACAACTATTAAAAATTTCAATTCGTTTGAAAATAAAAATTATACGTAACTTACCTAGCAAACTGTGCCAACAAACAATGTACAACCTATTCCACAGTCAGAACGAGACTAAAAAGTTTGGCAGCCGAGGGAAGACTAATATCTTGGCTGGCCTACCTCTTCTTCCTTCTCCTCCTCCTTCTGTCAAACGCAATTTCGACAATTGATAACAAAGTTACGTACACTTTGGCATTTAATTGTCGTCACACTGTCCACAAACTTAATTGTTTATAATTACGTGCTCGTCTATCTTGACGATTACTTGCACGTGTGTCGAATGTCATTGATCAGTCACGAAAAATACACTTATTGATTTTCTTACAACATTTTTTTTTTTTTTCATCCGTTGTACTCGTTCTTTCCGGCAACAGTAATTTTTGCTTAAACTGCTTCCTCAAAAATGTTATGAGTTCGTATGATTGCTTTTACGAATTATCTAATAGTACGTTAATTTGTACAATTTTTTTATTCAATTAACAGAAATTTGTTCATTCAATAGATATTAATAGTACTATTGTAAAATAGTGATGACGGGTAATCATATCAAACCTATCATATATTTAAAATAATTAATAATACTTGTCCTTATACTTCCAAACTTGCTTATTCTTAACCGTTTTCAAGGAAATTGAATATGTTGAATGGCTCTGTTTCAAGGTATTCATTCGTTTTTTCAAAAAATAAACGTTTTTTTTTATAAAGTTCAACATCAAGGAATAAAGTCAAAATAAAACCTTTCCAATTTCTTGGAAAATGTATGTGGATTGAATATATGTCAACAGTGTACATAGGTTAAACAAATAATAGGGTAAAATTTGCTCATTGGGTCGACTTGTACATTTACTGAATTAGTTGTAACTTAATTACAAATAATGTAAGAATTATGGTTTGCACGATCAAAACAAGCTGTAACAACTTTATCAATGATTTAACAAACCATGCTATTTTTAAATTATCATATAACTTATATTACCAGCCATTTTTACCTAGAAAAACATAGTTACAATACTAGAGTTTAAATTTATATGTACTTTTGGTTGCACTCTAATTTTATCACTAGCCTACAGCTGTTACTAAAATAATGTAATCATGATTGAAACGCCGATTCCATTCTTTACTGAAATCTATATTAAATTTTGTGTATTTTGTGTAGGAATTTTATATTTTTTCTAATTTGATAGGCTTAAACCTTTGAAAAATTAATTTTGGAAAGTAAATATTTTTTAGGGAAAACTGAAAATTTTACGACTCGTAAATAAATCCATGGTACTTTTATATTGGTGCTTCAATATTTAAAAAATCCTCAAATTACGGGTCACTACATCCGAGTATATGTTCTTATTGTACAATGTTTCCACAAGATAACGTATTAAAGTGATACTTCAGGTCAGGCCTCCTCTTAAACCTAAAAATTTGCTAATTTCTCTTTACAGATGGCACCAGGTGCGACAACTAAGATGGCAATGCATCAATACAAGGTTAGGTAAGGTGCTTTGAAAATGGATCGTATACTGATTGTATCGTATACCAGAGATCAATCTTAAGTTTGTTTGCAATGATGTTAAAAAATTATGTCATACCTTGCAATGGAAACGTAGGTATGCAGTCGACCCTAACTTCGGACATGGCCCCATTGAAAGCCTCGCTGACGTAAACAAAGCAGTACTCGACGTAACGCTCCGTGAAGAGGTCACAATCGAAAGTCAATCTGTGCTCGCCAGGTGGTGCTTTTAGCTCGGCAACGTAGTCCAAGGTTGAAGGTGGTGCCAGCGAGGCTACATCGGCCCTTAGACGACCGTAGACACGTACTCGATCGCCTTGGAGACGACAGGCTGGGTACTCGAACAGGACAGAGACGCCTCCGCCTGAGTTGCTGCTCCCACCGTCGCATGGGTAAACGGACCGAGCTCGGACGTTGAAGACGAACAGGTCCGACCATTCGACCTGCAAACATTGGTTGGAAAGATACTGGATCATTGATAATGCCTTTTATTTATTTTTTTGATATTAGATGTATCACAAAATTTTTTCCTTCGATTTTTAAATCACACCCATAGTTTTTTTAGAAATTTTAATTTTATTTTTTTAATGTAAAATTTAAAAAAACGTTACATAATTCAGAAATTGAACTGATATACTTCTATGATTGATAGATTTGTTTTTTTTTTTCATACATTACTTCGATCCAAAATAAAAATTATGTTACAGCTGATATTGAAATATTTTTTTTTTTTTTCATTTTTCAATCACATTAATGTTGTTAAAAAAAAAAGCAAAGCGTGCGTAATAAAAAGGACTTATCAGCAAATATTAAATAATATGGTAAGAACTAAGAAAAAAAAGGTTTTTATATATCTTCTTCTGAAATCCTAAACCATAAGCAATCATACATTTTAACGTAAGAGTTGCAAGTTAGTCATAAAAAAACTTATTTGAAATATTTTTCGTATTTTATGTATCAATAAAAATTCTTATGGACAATTGACTTGAAAAGATAATAAATACTCTCATAAATTATCAGTAAACAAAATCCTGGTAGGTTTTGATAATAATGTACACAAAAAGTGCAATTATTTTACAAGTCATCCCATGTGCTAGCTCTGACTGTTTTAGAATATCCTTCCTTTAAAATACGACCAATCAATATTAAAAACTATTTGCCCCCTTGATTAGTGCAGTGCACATAAAACTTTTTTTATGTACAAAAAGTTGAAACGAAAATTTATCTTTTTTTTTCTATAAAAGCGTATCATAAAATTTGTACATCTTCAATAATTGGATAGTTTACCCCATAGTGATAAGAAGAACAGGATTAGATTATTCGATGTGTCAAATTTTTTTTTTATAATATGAGCTGATCACTCTTTCGTACAGTGTCTCTAAATAATTTCAGATTTTAAAATAATTGTATAATGATTTCATTAATNATTTAAGAATTACTTAAGTTTATAATTGAAAAATATATTTTAAAATAAAAACTAAATGTAATAAAATCAAATCCAATTCAATAATTTGAACTCATTAAAATTTTCATTCAGTAATTTACGCTTAGAACTAGAGGGAGAGTACATTTAGTTATTTTTTACAGGATTCGAGCAACTCTGGTATAGAAAAGAAATTCATTTTTCTCAATGTTTATCATTTTTACGTTTTCAAACCCCTTACCTTTAGTAACATATATTTAATTTCCCGATTTTGTTAGAACAATTGAATAATTTGCTACTATAAAATATACAACTTTGATTTTTATTAGATGGAAAAATTTAAACTACTTGGTCTCGACCAATCACAGAACGAATGAACCGATGACAATAAAAATTTATAGGTAGGAATAGGTGAGGTGGTACTACAAAAAAATAATCCTTTCAAGTTACGACTATTGTAAAAATACTTATATTTATAGGCACTAAAAAACAATAAACCTCTCAAGTTATGACCAGTAAAAAAATAAAAAAAAGGTAGTCAACAGCACGCGGAGTTCCCAGGCGGTCACCCATCCAAGTACTATCCGCGCCCAATGTTACTTAACTTCGGTGATCGGACGAGAACCGGTGCTTTTAACATGGTGTGGACGTTGACGCTCAGAAGTCCTAATTTTACTTTCATAACGTATGCGCAGAGCAAAATCTATTTCAAAACTTGAAATACTTTTTTCTTACACATTAAAAAAGTAGTCAAATATACTTAAAAATCCAAGATTACGTTAAAAAAGAAAATTATTATTTTTACTACAAAAATGGTTGCGAATATCTTAGTACAGTTGAATAGTTATGCTAATAATTTATACTTGGGGGAAAGAAACACATAGTCATGAAATGCAATATTATTTCTGGTACGTCACGTTTTAGAATTCAGAAGACAAAATTTGTTTTCTCTTTTCACAAATAAAGTTCAAAACATCTATTTAAAATGTGGTGGCAGGATAATTTCCTGATTGATTGATGATTCCTATAATTTTATTTTATCTCAGATTGATTCCTCCAAAAAAGGTCCAAATGATATTACTGAATGAACAGCTTTTAGCAAAAACCAGTAGCTCACAACGTATAGCCATCTCCCATAGACAACATTCGAAACATATATTGAGCCTTTATTCAATACTCGCTTGATCTCATTACCCTGAAAACATCTACTGGAAAAAAAAAAACCAAATAAACATGGACAAACTGAAACTGAGTCGTCACGCGACGCACTTGCACCTATCACCCCGCAGCAACTTGACAGGTTTCTCACCTCCATAACAGCGATGGGTACAATTACAAAAGTATCGAATAAAAGAGAGATCGATCGCTCGGTAATCTCGCATCAGGGCCACTCGATAAGTATACCTATACAGATACACTTGCTCTTACCTTGATGTAGGCGCTGGAAGTAGGTGCACTCGGATTTGCATCGGATGGCTTCAGTCTGAGGGCGTAGTGGCCCGCCAGGCCAAAATACTCGCAGCGCAGACTGACGACCCTCTGCGTGGGAAAGCCCTTCACTTCCTCCTTATAGAGTACCTGCGAAGGAAAAAAAAAAAAAAATGCATGAAAAGGGTTAAAAATAATGCACGTTGGGAGTAAAAGCGAGGGGAAATTGGCTAGGATTTTTTTTTCTTCTCTGGGTACTGTGGTACGTGACTTTGCAGTCGGGGGATGACGAGAGGAAAAATTAAAGCTCGAGAACCGTTTGTGTTTCGCTGTATATGCTCTGTTGAGATTCGTTGGTAGCTGCTGGCAAAAATGTTTTTTTTTCTGCTGCCATGAAACAGCTGTATGTAAATTTCAGGTTTTTTTTCTTTTATTTTTCCATTAACTATAGTTAATCAGGGCGTTTTGTTGCTTTTTTACTGATGTGGCCATTAATATAGGTATGATCGAATGAATTTAAACTATAGCACTTTTCTCAAATGAGTAATAGCAGTATCAATTGTAATTAGTAGCTTTGGTAAAAAAAAATAATAAATAAAATAAAATGGAATTAAAAGAATGAATAGTACAATATAAGAGATTATTAATTTCAATGATGAAAGCTTTGAGTATACATTTTATCAGCCGCCAATGTCAAACGTTGTTGGTCAAAATTATCTTAACTACAAGATAATTCGAGGTAAAAAAAAAAGCTCACGGATAATCAACTGGAAGATACAGCTAAACGCGTGAATTAGTTACGTAAACGAAAAACTAAATTTTCCTCAAAAAATTACACGAAGCCTATTAATTTCATTTATTTAACTTTTTCAAACTGCATTTCAATAATCTAAAGCAATAAAATTAAAAAATAATACGACTAAAATGGTACGAAGATTAGGTATTGAAATAAATACCTGTACATGGCTCTTGTTGCGAGGATCGCATGAAAGGACACTCGCACCGCAATAGATGAGCTGAACAGAAAAAGTGGGCACGGGTACGCCGGGAAGTGGCGAGCACGTGATGCCCGTGTATTCAAGAGTCGCCAGGACCGGCTGGCTTGGGTAGGTGTCGAAGTGCTGGGGCTCCAGGGCCAGCGAGGGCGTTGGCCATCGCACGTCTAGCGTCGTGTGGGTCTGAAAAAAAAAATTTGTGGTCACAATAAGATTTTGTTGCAAGGAAAAAGCGTTCCATAGACATAAATCACGTGATTGATTTTTGTACTAGAGACATTTTCATGAAAATTTACAGTATCTAACTTTGCATTTATAAAATTTAATCATACACTTGATCATTTTTGTTTTTTTTTTAACATTATGCAGCTTTGATGGGGAATTGTGATCTATTATATTATAAAACATTATATTATCAAACAATGTGATATTCAATGACTATTGAGGTAGTGATAAATATTTTATGCTAAAATAAAATCACACTTTTATGTTTGCTTGCAAACTTTACGGAAATCACGAATAGTTTTTATTTAAAAAATATAAAAGGATATTTTATTCAAATATGAATAAATCTTGTACCAAATATCATTCCTAGTATTAAAGCATTCTATTAATATCTTATTTTTTTGCTGTAAACTCGTTGTTCGCTGTCATCAACACAAATCTATTAAACGTGCGATTATATAAACTACGCTCACAATTAACATTTTATTTAGTAATTTTTACTAAATTTTATGTTTATCATTTTAATAGTTTGCAACACTTTTTCAAAGTTTCGAGGCAATTTCATTATTTTTATAAAAAAATTTTGAAGTATTAAACTGAAATATACTGTAATATCGCATAAGAATTAATATTTTAAAATCAATTTTTATGTGAAATTCAACTGACTAGACTGTAAAACAAAAAATATTTTCATAATTTGTACTAAATTTCATGTAAAACGTAGTAGAACACTTTTATTAGTTGAAATTATCATCCCTATGAAATGTAATTCTGAACACGATGCATTTGTATAATATACGTTTAATAAATTTAGTATGCGATTATAAAATATCATTCGCAGTATATTTATCTAAAAAATCAATATTTTTTAAGAATCACGAGAAGATAAAACCTTTTGATCTTCAATTAATTGTACATTAGTCGCATCCGTGTGTAATCAAATACACATACCTACTTAAATGACTAAAACCGTGTGTATCTTAGATAAGAGTGGATTGTATAAAATCGCCTTGGTGAGGAGATGCTATTGAAAAATAATAAATACAAAAGTTTACTGTACATTTTTTATCAATGTAATAAAAGGCTAAATTGTTTATATTTTCGTTTGCACATTAAGATGAGGTGTATTCCGGATAACGAAGAATTTTTGCACTTCGTATTGTGGAAGATAAATTGTATACGTTTTTGCGAGTAAATCGTTGGGAAAAAAATAAAATGTCCGATTAAGAAGTGAAATACGAGTTTAAAATTTTAACGCAACGTGCTATGCTAATTAATCCTTTCATCCCATGGATTTAGCGTAATTTAATGCAATGCATGGCAACAATCGCATAGAAATCCCGTGGATTATAATTTTAAAACAAATGTGTGCATCAACTCCGAGGTCATGATTAAATATTTAATTTATTTTATAAAAAGTTAAATTTATTATATTTAAATTTTTGCCACTAGTCGAATAGAAACATTAAAACGAGACAACTAATGTAGCTTTATTATCCACACGAAACTACGATTGTTTATCATTAAATTAGTTACAATTAGTTGCACTCCAGAATTTTAGAGCTGTGAAATAATGTACATTCTACTTAAATATGAAATTCAATTTCTTTTCAAAATATTTATCCATACATTATTTATTTAAGAAAACAACACTATTTGTGACAAAATATTTTCGAGTACAACAGTATTTCAATAAATCTATGTATCCGATAAATTGCATGTAAGAGACTTGTCCATTGAATAAATTATTTCGATGAAATTAAAATACGATTGAAAATGTTTTATTGTCAAAGGTAATGTTCCCTTTTATAATTTATATTTCAATTATTAATAGATAAAATAAGAAAAATTTTTTATGGAAAAGCAGCTTATCAATACAGTTTTTTCGACAATTCTTAAATTTGGATGTACAAACAAGGAGATCTTAAACATCAAATCACGTGGTACAAATACAACCCCCGAATTTTTCGCTCCAGAAACAATCGAACAATTTTATTGACGATTGCAACCTTAGAGCAATACAGCTGCAAAACAAACTTCATCTAAAAAAAATGTACACACTTCCATCAGAGCGTAACTAAAAAAGTCGAAACTCCCGAGGAACATAACCTAAAAAACTTTTCATCCGATACGAGCGAAAATAAGAGAAAAAAAAAAAAACCATAGACACGTCTATATACCTGTACATGATGAAGGCTAGCGGTGTTGGCGAAGTGGTCCGGCAGGGGCGCGGACTTGTGTTGCAGTTGGAGTGAGTAAGTGCCGCCACGCGAGAAGTAGCCGCAGGGAATTTTCAGGGAGACGTTGACCCCCGCTATATTGGGCACCTCCACCGGCACCTCACCCACCAGCTCCGACGTGAAGCCATCCAGCCGAAGGAGCCTGCAATTTTCAGTTTCCCCCAACGGGCTCATTGATAAATCGATTCACCCGTACATGGGCTGACAAATAAGTTGGCCTCAAAGGGGTAGGAAATAAGTATTTTTGTTTTTGTTTCTAAAGGGGATATTTTTTTTGTGATGAGATGACAGGTAAGGCCATGAGAAACTTTTACTCAGAGTTTTTATTCGTTTACTCTTTTATGGGAGTATTTCAGTCGTAGGACAGAGTTCTATGGTTTACCGATAAAACACCTTTTCAAAATTACGTCATTGTTGTTTGAATTGTTGATTTCATAAGACATAAAGATTAGACCGTAACAGATAATTTGGTTAAGTTTAGATTAAATGTTTATAATTAACATCGAAATAATTTTAGATTGCTATAAGAAAAAAAAAAAACATAACTTGGAACTGTACTAGAGGGTAGGTGGAGTATGGTCTTAGTACCTCTAATCTGTTAGTGTTTTATGAAATTTCCTCAAAGAACAATAATGTAATGAGGAATGCAACTACATCTAGTCATGCACTACATCAACTACATGCAATGTAAATCTCAGTATTGAGGTCACCAGAGAGCTTCAACGGGGTGCTACACTACCCTGGAGCTCGAAACACAATGAAATAAAAATAAATTGAAAAACGATTCTTTCGAAAAACTTAATTCTTCTTATTTTCATTACTGTTTAAGCATATAAATTTTACGTCGGAAAATCTTGAAGATCATATAAATTTCTTTACAGAAACTTATTTGTTTTTTTTTTGGATTCTTTAATTTTTTTAAAATCTGAAAAATCATTAAATTATTTAAATTAAAAAAAAAAATTAATCTATCTATACCTATATGTGCGTGGATGTGTATAGATGTTTGTTTTATTATGTACAGACCGAGGTACAGACGTCCATAAATATTAAGTGCATCTAAATTTGACGAAGCTTAAAAAAAGTAATAATAAAAATGTATGACGAAGCTTTCCATCAATAAGCTGGTCGTGGATTTTATAAATTTTAAGTTAAAATTTCGTTAAAAAATTATTGTAGAGTGTTTTATGTTTCCATATACATTAAATAAGAAACCTCTACAAATTCGTTACTTGAAGCATTAAGAAATTTGTATTTCACTTGAAAGAAGAAAAATGTTGTGTCAAAAATCATTTCATTGTATACCAGCAAGCTATCATGAAGACAGCTGTTCAGTTAGACGAGATTTGTTATTGGGAAATAAAAAAAATGCATAAAAGTAAAATAATACTAGTAAAAGTTTCACAGATCCCATCGTCCACTTCACCTAACGCAACTATCGTTATTCTCACCTGGACCATTCCATGTACATAAATATATATAAACTGCTTTCAGCAAAAATTTTATGCAAGGCATGCTATGAAGGAGGTTCTGGCAAAAATAAAAAAACGTTAGATAATGCTGAAAAAACATTACGTATTTATAAGAATATTTTATGTGCTTGAGAATTTTTCAATATTTTTTTCCAAACGTATTTTCGAGAAAAAAAAATCATTTAATTACACAATTTAACATAGAGTCTTATACTACTTACATAAATCAAAAATTAAAACAAACATTTTTCGTAGTTAAAACCACGTTAATTAAAAATAAACGGTCTTTTAAAAGAAAATAAAAGGGTGAAAAAAAAAAAATCACACGGAAAATCATCAAAACAGTTACATTGAATAAAAATTAATTAGTGACCCCTTTAAGAACTTATGTGAAATTATGAAATTAAATGATTTTTTTTTCACAAAAACACATGTGGAACAAAATTTACATGCACAAATTATGTTTAAAAAGAAGAACGTAATTTTTTTTCAGCGTTATATGCCATTTTTCATTTTTTGCCGGAACCTCCTTGATAGATGCACCAACACAGCGACGTTTCCCTAGACTGATGAAAAAATACGACAACGAATTTTGTTGGCAGAACCAACCTGAGGACGAATGGATCCTGTAGGGGAATGCGATTGTTTTCGATGCTGTAGTCCTCGTCGTCTTCCAAACTGGCGTCTGCATCCTCAGTGGTCGCAACGAGCGAGCTTGACCTTTGTGTGGTCGCGCGACTGGAAGTGGTTGTGGTAGTTGAAGTTATGGCTGGGGCAGTGGTGGTGGTGGTGGTCATGTGATATGCGGTCGGCATTTCGATTATGAGGACACCGAGATCTCCGGACAGGGCCGTGTGCGAGGCTGCCACAATCAATCTCGGATAGGAAATATCCTCCGGTGCTACCATCGGTCTCGTTGTGCCTGAAATTATAAAGAAAGAAAATCTCTTAGGTAAATCATACATCGCTGTGGACTTTTTAAGGGGTCAAATATTTTAATTCGCTCGTTCGAATTGCAGCTTTTGACAGGAGTAAGATTTTTCGATGGTAAAATGTTTGTTTTTTTTTTTTCTTATGACATTTTGATGAATATCCTCCTTTTCACACCAAGCATAGATCGACGGTTATGTGTGTTAGTGTATAATGTATATGTAGTGAAGAGAATTCTCATCCTCAGCGTTTAATTTTGAGGTAAAATAAAGAAAAATGCGGTTTCTCCTTTGGAAGTTGACTGTCAAGTATTATTGATTATTTGTAGAAAAAAAATTTGTTTATTTTAAAAAACCACTTCGTTGATTGGTGCAAAGCGTAATCTATTTTTTGCCTTTTGATTGAAAAAGTAATATAGGCTAATTTTTTCTCTTACACTATGCAAACTGGAACGACATAAATGCTTAATTTTACGAGAATATTCTCTTCATAAACTTTTTTATTTATAAAAAGCAGAATATCTACCATTAAGACTTTTTGGACAAGCTGTTTCATAGCACAGGAGCAAAGGATATTGTTTGTTGACCTTAAGAATCGTGATTATTATCATTTTTATTTAAGTAAGTTTTCTTTGTTACTTAAAAAATATTTCAACGCAGAATCGTACAATACATAAATCCACGATTCTTGATTTCAATTTAGGGCTTAAAGAATTCAATTAACCGTTTTAAAAAAAAGCTGTACAACACATTTTTTAAGGAATCAAAAAATATATGCATAAACCTAACAAAGTACAGTACTAAATTTTATTATTATTGCTACTGTTATGAACGAAAACAAAAATTTTAAGCTACGGATCATTAAGGACGTTCGGTAGTGATTGAATTTTCCAACGAATTTTTCTGAAATTTTGACCAGACGTTTTTATTGTTGTTACAATAAACCAGTCAAAATTTAAAGAGGTTCCTCTGTTTCGTTTCCGAGATATTGAATTTCAAAGTTAAGTCATTTTAACACTGTCGCTTATGGGAGAACTGACTAAATCACAGTTTTAAGCAAATTGGGCCAGTGAATTTGGCCAATTTTTTTATATGTTACAGATAATGTTATTAATTTGATGTATACCAAGTTTTGCGACTATCGTCTGATTCGTTTATAAATAAAAAATTAAATAAAAGCTCGACCGAAACGCAACGGCAACGTCGCAAGTGGCGGGAAATTCAAAATGTTCCAGGATGTTGATCAGTAAATATCTCAATATTATTGTAGATATTTATGCATTCACGCATAAAATACAAGCTTACGAGTGTGCGTGAGTGTATGTACAGAACGCCCACCCCTTCCCATAAAAAACAATAAATGTTAATAACACGCTATTTATTTTTTTTTTTTAATTTAAATTTATTATTTCTTTTTAAGATACAATTTTTTTGCACATTACAAAATCACATGCTCATAGTTTGAATCACTCATCTTAGAAATCATCCTACTTATCTGACATCCCATGCTGTATGAGACTTGTCAAGTCATTTAAAAATTCAAGTATTTTATTTACACTGGTAGCTCTTTTGATTAAAGGGCTTTGCCCATTTATTAGAAATGAAATCTACAAATAGAAATACAATTGTTACAAGTCTTTCTAATTACTCATTTATTCATTTTCACTACACTTTTATAATAAATCAGTAACAAATACTTACAGCTTTATCACAAAAACATTGATACACGAACGCTGTCGTAACCGACGCAGCACGCAGCAGACGAGCAGACAGTGTAGAGTGTGCAGAGACACCTGATGCGTGTACATGAACACTCACACATTTAAGACCCGTACGACGTTGCCAAATCTTCATTCATCGCTGGTTTCCCCTCACCGCGCAAATGTTTCCCCCCGCTAACACTACCGAACGTCCTTAAACTTTATACTCTTAATTCCGTAATATGACCCACTACGTGAGTACTGCACTTAATGGCCGTTAATTGTTTCCTGTACATAATATAACTAAACGCCAATGGGATAAAATTACTTATAATAAGAGACAGCTGGTTTGAAAATTGCTTTCATAACTCCTGTCACGCTAGAAAATCATTAACAATCTTACGATGTACAGATACGCTTACAAAAAGTTAAAATATCTTTAAAAATTCATACTCAGAATATAAAAATTTTTTCTTTTCAAGCGAAAGTCCTAAAATTCACGCAAGTTACTGTAAAATAGTAAAAAAGAGATTTTTTGTCAATACAGTTAATATTATGAAATTACAAAAAAAAATTACAAGACTCATCGAGATAATTCAAAATAAAAAAGATAGTGATTTTCATACTATATAGTATGAATATTTTTAAATAAGCAAAATCGTTTCACCAATTTCAATTTAGCTTTTTTTTTGAAAGTCAAAAAATTGCTTAAACAATCTAATGCAAACACAAATGTGTATTTCATAAAACTATTTAAAATAAATAACTACAATCGTATTTCATAATTCACTTCAAACATTTTAATGTTTTACGATTGTTTTTTTCTATAATTTTTACCGAGAAGCTTCGGTAATTTTTTCTTGATTAAGAAAAAAGACTGTGTCACGAACAGTAAATACTAAATTATTGAATAACTTACGTATCTATATACTGTAAACACTGCATTATACTTTTCACGTCAGGAAAAAAAATCACTGCAACTACACGGTAGAATTAAAGCTTACTAAGATAAACTTTAATGCAATGAAAAAGCTGTCGCGAGGTTAAAATTTTTCAGTCTCAATTTTACCATTGTTTTTACAGTCAAAATTCCTCCAACGTAATTCTCTCTGTAGTAAAAATCATACAACTACATGATAACCACATCATTGGGTTTAGTTATTAAATCATACATTGAATAAGCAGCGGATTAAATAACTAGCAAAATTGTCGAGTAAGTTTTGGTAATTTCAATGCTTGCACTGTTCGGTAATTCTGATCATTTGGTTTGGGACTTGTTTGGGACGAGGTCGTTATTAAAAGGTTTTTTTTTTTATTTTACTATTTCTTCGAGCGTTTCTCCACAATCGGTTACACAGTTGCCGATTGGGGGGGGGGGGTCATGTCACGGTAATTGAAAGCATTATCGGGGGCATATATTATGTCTCTGTGAGAGTCCAGAAATATGGAGTAGGAAAGCGTTCTGTGGAATTCCAGAGGCTTCCTCGTTCGATAACCCTAAAGCGCTCGTCGAATTTATATTTTGTTTTCTCTGTTTCCATGAATTACCTTTGTTAGTTGTTTTTTCTGTTTAAATATAACCTCGTGAAAAAGAAAAAGGGCAGTTGGCAGTTCAAGCTCTTTACGATTGGAAGCCAATTTTGTATATTTTCTAAAATAAACCGCTACGTAAATCTCAAGAGTCGTCTCATTACGTTTGTGATTTAGCAGGATTGTTAACGTTTGATTTTAACTGGTAATTTACATTAACAGATCTGAAGCGTTACGAGGATCACCGAAGCTAGGACAGTGGGGCAGCGAATCTAACCTTACCACCTTAATTTCTCAGTGTGAGCCACTGTGACTACTGTGAGGTGTAATATATCATTTTCTCGCAATAATGTATAGATAAACTTTATCCGAAATTAACGTAAAAAAAAAAAAATATTATTCAACGAACTAAACGAACAGCAAAGTTGCAATATTTTCACAGTCCGATGACCCACGAGAGACCCGACGTAGAACATGTAATTCCATGGCCAGCTCAGCCGTTAATCCAAACTTCACGACTAGCGTGCGTGTCGTCCGAGAAAATAGCATCGTTTGCACTTCGTCCCTTGCACGAACTCTGCTAAACAAGGATCCCCGTGTCCATACTATCCGGATAAACTTCTTCACGCTGATTTCTCGGTGGGATTTCGTTGATTATCCGTCCAACTTGAATGTCGGCAGAGATCATAATGTAGAAGCCAAATCGTGTCCGGTCGACAGGTGGATTGTTGCAATGATATACCTTAGGGTGTCCGTTATTTACCAATTTAGATTTTTTCATCATGTACCCTGTGGAATTTCTTTGTTGTATCCCAAAATAGAAATGCATATCAATAAGATCCAAAAATTTTTGAAAATTTTATTTAAACAAAATAGGATATTTAAATTTCAACTTGGTTTAGTTTTTTTGAAAACTGTGAGTATTTTTTATGGATTTTTAAGTAATACCATTTGATTTCATGTGACTTCGAAGGCTTTGGAGTCACATCTAATTTTTCAACATCACAAAATCTAATTTCATGTCTCGAATAGTCATTCGATAAAATACAAAGTATTTCTGTGATAGAGGATGTTTTACCTCCCATTCGAATTTACTTCGAACTTCAACGGTGGTACTCTCGTTTGCATTTACTTCCCATGTTAAACTTTGTATGTAATGAAGTAGCTAAAGATACTGCCGAAATAAAGTTCTGGCTATTTCCATAAGAACATGAGCTGAAACTCTCAATCATCATCTAATGCCATAATTTAATATAGAGTCTTATGAGGGTCAGTAATTAAATTGTATTCAAAACTTTTTTTTTTTTAATTTCTTCCTCGTTAATAAAAAAAGTTACATTTGATAAAATTAATGTAGTTAGCGACTCTCATAAGAGCCTAAGTTATAAATCCATATGAAGAAAAAAATATTGAAAAAATGTATACGCCCACATAATGTTCCTAAGAAGAATGTCATGTTTTTTCAGCGTTACCTAACATTTTTAATTTTTTGCCGAAACCTCTTTTTCTAAAACTCCTGTAAATGATGGAAATTTCCGTAGGACAGTAGCGTTAGCTGTGGTGGACTATCAATCCACGAACCACCAATATTTTCCACGCGTGTTCTGTTAGTCACCAGAAACAATCATCCATCACTGGAAAGAAGCCCTATTCTTTACCACCCCCTTCTCGCACGCGTACACCTCAACTCCTGACCCCATAACTCATATCCGCTTAACGCATGCACGCACCAGCTATAGTGTCTCCACGAATGCCGTCACGGC